GCGTCCCTCTGCCAGCAGCACGGCACGGCTTGGCAGCTCAGCTCACCCAGACCTCCACCGTCCCACCATGGGGAGGTGGCAACTGCTGCCAATTTCAGCCAAATCGGGGCCGTGTGGGGAGACGTCAGCCCTCGGGATGGGGATGGGGGGTGTGGAAAAGGCTGGGGCTGGCAGGCTGTGCCTCCACAGAGGAACCCCTCCAGTTCCTGCTCCATCTCACCTTCAGTTGTTCATTTAGGGAATGCATCATCATGGACAACAGCAAGGTGATAAATGTCGAGCCCATCCCTGCCATAAAGATGATGCAGAGAAGGATCAGCACAAGGAAGGACACCAGGAAGAAGTGGAAGATGTTCCAGCAGTGCTGTGGGGTGAGGAGGGGGCTGAGTGCCACCCCATGTGAGGGTCACCAAAGAAACACAGAATATCCCCGGTGGGATCCACAGGGATCGCTCAGTGCAGCTCCTGGATCCACACGCAGCACCATCCGAAATCTAAACCGTGTCTGAGTGAGGCTCTTCCCCCTCTGCCCTGGAGACGGCAGCAGAGGGCTGAGAACCGCTTCGGAACGGCGGGGGAGCGGAAAGGGACGGATGGACACAGGGATGGACAGACAAGGGATGGAAGGATGGAGAGATAGAAGGACACAGATATGGAAGGACAGAGGGATGAAAGGATGGAGGGACGGAGAAAGACAGGGAAGGAAGGACGGAGGGATAGAGGGACGGAAGGACAGAAGGATGCATGGATGGAGGGACAGAAGAAGAGAGGGACAGGACATAGAGATGGAAGGACAGGGGAACGGAGGGGAACACAAGAACAGTGGGATGGAAGGACAGAGAGATGGAAGGACAGAGGGGTGGAAGGACAGAGGGATGGAGGGACACCGGGATGTGGGGATGGAGGGACAGAAGGATGGAGAGACGGAGGGACATAGAGATGGAAGGACAGAGGGACACGAGGACAAAGGGATGCACTGATAGAGGGATGGAAGGACAAAGGGGCATAAAGATGCAGGACATGGAGATGGAAGGACAGAGGGATGGAGAGACATAGGGATGCAGGGACACGGGGATGGAAGGATAGAGCGATGAAGGGATGCAGAGGCACAGAGACACAATAACAGAGGGATGGAAGGAAGGAGGGATGGAAGGACTGAGGGAAACAATGATGTGGTGACACAGGGATGGAAGGAAAAGGGACACAGGAATGGAGGGAGACATAGAGGGAGGGGGGGACTAACGGACTCAGGGACTTGTAAATGCAGACACACGAGGAGGCAGTTGGAGAGGGGCAGGGACAGGGGGTGCACACATGGAGGGACATGGGGATGGTGGCTTCCACCCCAGGGCACCAACAGGGTCCCCAAGAGTGCAAACCAGAACACCTGGTGGGTTCTCCAGCAGCTGATATGCACAGCCTCCCTGCCCAGATGGGAACGTGGTGCTTACTGGGGCAATGCTACTCCCACAAATGGAGCTGTGGGGTTTTACAGCCCCAAAAGAGATGGGGAAAAGGTGAAGGTGAGGGAAAGAGTGGTGGGGGTCACCACCTCCATGGGCTTTGAGGTACTGATCAGGATCGTCCCCATGTCAATAGTGATGAGCACAGACATGATGAACTTGATGCTGGGGTGGTTGAGGAAACAGTCCAGGCTTATCTTGGAGATGTATTCCCAGTTGTCCCAGGGGTCCTGGAGGGGGGGACACGGCAGGAAGCCTGGGGATGTCCCCACATCCAATGGGCTGCAGACGTGGCCCCACCTCAACCCCATCGGCGGTGGCTGCAGTGAGGACAGGAGGAGGGGTGGGATTGGAAGAGGCAGAGCGGCAGCACGGAGGTGAAAGGGTTAATGTGGAGTCTCAAACTGGTCAGGCTCCAGTGTGGAGCCAGAGGGACGCTGGTGGAAAAGGACAGGAGACGTGGGACACGTGCCAGCACTCCTAGAGCCGCGCTGCTCCAGTGTCACCAGGAGCATTCCCAGCTATCCCAGCAGCATCCCTCCCCTGTCCCAGCCTGCTTCCTCAAGCTGCACATGGGGAAACTGAGGCACAGGGGAGCTCAGGGACACAAAGCCCTTTGTGGCCACCCCCAGCCCCACCTCGGGACCAACATGCCCCACATCCCCCCTCCTGATGCTCCCCATCCCCAGGTCCAACAGGGCCCTGGATGGTTCCCACCCCGAGGATGATGATGGAGGGGGGTCAGTTTGGGTTGCCCTGTGTGACCGAGAAGGCTTGAGCCCACCACAAAGCTCCATGTGCAATTAAACCCATTAATTAGCAGTAACGAACCTTCCTTTCTCTTTTCCAGCTTTTGCTTCCCTGTTACCTCTGCAAACGTTGAGGCTGCACGTGGGGTCCATTCGGTCTTGGGGTAAGGGGGCAGAGGGGAAAGAGCAGCTTTGGGGCAGAGCTGGAGCCCAAAATACAGCAGTGGCCACAAGTGCTGACTGGAGTGTAGCTGCCCCTGCTGGATGCACGTGTGCACACGCATGTATGTGCACACGCATGTTTGTGCACACGTATGTATGTGCACACGTATGTATGCATGTGTGCATGAATGCATGGGGCTGCACACATGGGGAGGGGTGCACAGGGAGGGGTGCACACTTGTGGGGTGTGTGAGCCCCTATTAAGGGTGTGCACACGCGTGTGCTGCTGGTGCTCCCATTCATGGGGTGTGCACACACACGTGCTGTCCTGCAGCCGCAGTGCATTTGTGCACGTATGTGCATGCACACGTGTGTGCCAGCACAGCACGCTGGTGGCTGCCGCATTTGCAAGGGGAAAAGCGCACGCAAGCACACATAAAAACACGACTGCATGAAGGCACACACACACACAGCCCCAACCCCCTCGTGCAAACCCACGCGCGTTGCACCCCGAGCCGCGCAGCCGTTCACGAGGCCACGCGTGTGCCGCTTCCCAGCTCTGCTGGGCTCGCTGGCTGCGGGCCGGGAGGCCTTGGCCGGGCCGGCAGAGGGAGGAGGAGGAGGGAAGTGCGGCTCAGACAGCGCGGCGCCAGCAAACACCTGCAAACAGCTCCGGGCACACAATGGCAAATACAGGTGGGGAACCGCCGGAGCGGCCCCGTCACGCCGCCGATTGCATCAGACTGCAGGCTGCCAGGAGCCGGCCCGGCCACGGCACCGCTCGGGGCCGCGTTCCCAGAACCCCCCCCTTACCTCCCCCCCCCATCCCCCCCTTTTTTTCATATATTTTCTTGCTCCGTTCCCATCCCCGAGATGAAAGCGGAGCGCATCGCAGCACCCGCGAGTTGATGGGGTTGGCCAGAAATGTGCTCCTCCGGTCCGTCCCAGCCCCCCGATTTGGGGAAAGAGAGGGGAGTTGGGGGAGGGGGGGGGGGGGGGGGGGCTATTTTTAGCATTTTATTTTAAAAAATTGGGGGAAAAAATAAAATCCTGTTGCTTTTCCATAGAAAGCACCGTGTGTGGCTGGGGACCCGGCACAGCGTCTGTCCCCACTACTTGGGGGGGGGGTGGGCTGTGATCTGGCCCCCATCCTTCACCGCTGTCCCTCTGTGTCCAGAGCTCAGAGCTGGACGGGGAGGGGGGGGTGTTTCTCTCCCACCCCACTAATTGCTGATTGCTCCTTGCCATTTTCCAGCTGCACGGTCAGAAATGAGGGCCTGCTGTGCCTCCAGCTACAGTGGCACAAGGGTGTCCCGAGCCCCCCCCCCCCCCCCTTCCCCCCCAACAACTCCAGTGCACCCAGAGCTCTGGGGCACACCAACACCTCTCAGGAGCTGTGTGTGTGACGCTCATCCCCATCCCACTGCCAGCATCCTTCTCCCACCCAGCCCAACCTTTCCAGCCCCAGTGCCACGAAAGGGGGGGGGAACACAGGGACATCCCCCCTCACCCCCACTCGGCTTTTCCTCCCAGCCCAAAGTGAGCAGGGATGTTTGGAGCCTATATTTAGCCGTCAGCACGAGGCCAGCCCAGTTCCCAGCAGCGGTTTTCAGTGGGACACCCGCAGCTCTGTGTCACCCCGTGTCACCCTGCATCACCCCACCCATAGCTGCCGCCGGCAAGATGCTGCTGGGGGACATTAAAGCTCGTGGGAAGAGCTCTGTGCCTCCCCCAAGCCCTGCGCCTTCCTCCTCCTCTTCCTCACTCCAGCTCACCTGGAGGCCACCAGCCACAAGGACACCCAGGTGCCACCAAGAGAATGCCAGCACTGTTCCCAGGAGCAGAGGATGACATTGCCATGGGGGGGAGGAGGGGAATATATTTGGGCAGCAGAGCCCGAGCCCTCCCCAGAGAGCAGGATTTAGGATTGAGCCCAGCTGTGCTGCAGCCGCCCCACAGCTGAGCCAGCCCCAGGCTTGGGTCACATCTGCTTGGGGGGGGGGGGGGGGGGGGGGAGGCTGGAGGGAATTAATCCAGGGAGTGGAGGCATTTCGGCTCCAAGCATCCCCCCATCACCTCCTGAGGGACCAGGACAGATGTGGGGCACCTCCAGCTTCCCCCCATGGAATAGCACAGCGCTGAGCAGCTTTAATCAGAAGCAGCTGCATCCCATGAGCATCCCTTCCTTTTGGGGGGGGGGAAGAATGTCACACAGCCCCCCCACCTCAGAGCAGCATCCCCAGAATACCTCAGCAGGGAGATGCAGCAGCACTGCTCAGAGTTGAGGCAAAAGACCCAAAAAAGCCCCCCCCCCCCCCCCCACTGCTCCTCAGGGCTCAGCAATGCTCAGGAGGGGTTAGGGGGGGGGGGGGGGGGGGGGGGGGAGGACCTCCACAGCTTCCATATCAGATAAGGAGAGCAGCACCCAAAATAGCTGGCAGACACCTCTGCTGGGAGACGGCAGCCGGGGGTTAATTCCTCCCATACCTGAGCTGACATTTCAAAGCTATTAAACAATTAATGAGATTCCTACCGTAACCCTAGAAGTTAGGATCCTGTGGCAGCGGGGTTTGGCCAAGGAGGGGATTGGGGGGTGGGGGGTAAAAGCACAGGCACTGAGACAAGGTTTATTACATAAAAACGGTAACTTTTATAAAAAGTTTATAAAGCAAGTACAAGGCATGTCCGCAGAAATTCACCTTCCTGCACAAAAGGTACAAACGTTATACTCTAGTATAGAGCTCCACAATACACGAGGCCGTGGGCCCCAGAGTTTGGTTCGCGTCTGAGGACCCCTCCCCACAAAAACCGCCCTCGACCCCCCCCTCCCATAGCCACCCCCTCCCCCCCCCACCCCCCATTAAACACCTTTACAAAGGACTCGCTTCACTATAATCCAAAAATATACAGACAACCGCATCTTCACCAGTCTATCGAAGAAAGTGTCTCGTTTTTATCAGCGGGTTGGAAAACGAAAAATAATAATAAAAGTCCTAAAGAAAACGGGAGGGGGGTGGGGGGGGGAAAAAAGTCCTAAAAGAAAGCTGGGATTTTTGGGGAGCGCCGCTCCATGAAGTCGCTCCGGTTGGGGTTCAGCAGCCGCATCTCTCCCGATTTCTGGATATTGTCGGGTATTGAAGGCACCCCCGAGGTGAGGGGAGGTGGGTGCAGCCCCATAGCACAGCACGGGGGGGTCCGCAGCCCCATAGCACAGCACGAAGCGGGGGGCCGGGGGAGGGGGGGGGGGAAAAGGTGGGGATGGGGGGCCGCAGCCGCCCCGGCGCCGTGCAGGAAGCGGCTCGTTACCTCCGGGAACCGACAGTCGGTGCGTGTTTGCTAATTGGCACTGGGAAAGAAGAAAAGAGCGATTATAGAGAGAATTCGGCAACTGGGGAGGTGGGGGGGGGGGGGAGGAGAGCGGTGTGGGTTCAGGGTACGGCGGTGCCAAAGGGGGAATCGGTGCGGGGTGGGTTTGGGGTACAGCGGTGCCAAAGGGGGGGGGAGGGGGGGGGTTGGGAGGAGCGGTACGGGATGGGTTTGGGGTACGGGGGTACCAAAGGGGTGCTGGTAGTTTTGGGGTACGGCGGTGTCGTGCTGAGGGTTTTGGGGTTCCCAGGATGGAGGTGGCACTCACCTGATGGAGGAGGCGTTAGTGACACAAACTTCTCTCGTCTTTGGAGCACAGCTCGGAGGCCAGCTCGGCTGCCTGCAGAAAGCGGGCACAGGGTCAGGGCTGTGGCAGCACCCAGAGAGCTCCTTCCTATCCGAGCCCCCCCTCAACCCACTCCCCCATAGGGAAAAAACACCCCCATACCTTCAGGGACAGCAGGGTGGCCTCCGAGGAGTGGTCTCGCCCCTTGGCCCCTTCTTCCAGCACGATCTGCAGGTCGAAGATATAATCGATGACGTGCTGGAGGATTTCCACCTGGCTCAGCTTGGTGCCCTGCGGGATGCCCGGCACCAACTCCCTCAATTTGGAGTAGCAGTCGTTCATATCGTACAGCAGATTCATGGGTTCCTCCAACGCCGGGCTCTTGTTGTTGCTGCTAGCGAGCGATGGCCAAACTTTGCTCCGAGAGGCAGCAAACGGCCTCGTAACAGCTCCTGACCGACCGCACCGGGCTGATGGCTTTCATGGTGGGGGGATGTTGAGTCCGATGGGGCTGAGCGTGGGACCACCGAGAATTTCTTCACCCCTCGGATCTCCGCTCCCGGTTCCTCCGACCCCCTCTTGCTCCGAGCACCCGAACCTCGCTGCCGCACTGGGGGTGGGACGGCCCAGCACGGCCGTCTATATGGGCAGCCCATTGACCACGCCCCCATTGTATGCAAATAACCCCGAGCCACTCCCCCTTTTATGCAAACGAACAGCCAAGCCCCACCCATTCATGTAAATGAAGCAAAAGGAACTCCGCTCCCCCCCTCCCCCCCCTCCCCGATGACCCTTGGTGGCCCCGTGGGGACAAGGGGACACAGCCGCGCTGATCCCATCCCACCCCACAGCATCACCCCAGCCCCCCCCATCACAGCGTCACCCACTCCCTCCCACTCCACCACTGCAGACCCCCTCCATTAGACCCCCTTCCCCCCCCCCCCCAAGCTGTGCCCCCCATCTCGGAGTGGTTTGCCCCCCGCTTTTGGGGAGGGCGATGTGTTTTCTTCCCCCCCCCCCCCCCCCCCCCAATCAACTTTCTGCCGGGCGATCTCGTAGGAAATTAGTGCCGCCCTGTTCCTCAATTCGCTTCTCATATGACCTCCAGACTTTCTGGCGTCAGGAATTATCTTGTGACCAGAAGAAAAAAATTAATTGCGGTAAAGCTGAGGTTACGATGGAGAAACCAGATTTAGGTCAGCGACGGCGCTCCTCGCGAGCGGGCGGGAGGGATTTCGGGGGGGGGTGACGGACCGGGGGGGGGTGGGAGGGTGGTAGATTTATGGGCACGGGGCTGATTTCAGCAGCAGGACCCCCCCGAACCTTGAAGTCCGAAGGTGTATGGCCGGGGGGGGGGGCGGACCCCCACGTGTGTGCCCACAGTGGGTGTGGCACTTGGAGGAGGGGGGGGGCAAAGCTCCCCGTGAGAGCCGCATTGTGGATGGATGTGAGGGGTGATTTCCCCCCCCCGCAGTGAAAGCAATGGGCTGTGCCCCCTCCAACCCCCCCCCCCGTGCATCCATGGGCGTTTGGGGGAACTTCTGTAGGCTTTGGTTGCTTGGGAAGGGAGCTGGGACCCAGATAATGGGGGGCTGGGGGGTGGGGGGAGGGGGGCAGGCGGCACCTGGAGCAAATCACTGCCCCCCCCCCCCC